TATATATTTATATGATATATATATTGATATATATATATATATATATATTGATTTGTCGTGAATAAATGTTTTAAACGAAGTAACTCAAGTTTGTCTTTTATTTGCTCTACTTTCGTATCGAGCACTCTATTCGTATGATTCGACACTCAATATACTTATTGACATTCGCCTATATATATATATATATATATATATATATATATATATATATATATATATATATATATATATATATATATATATATATATATATATATATATATATAGGTTATCATATAAGGGATGAGGTGATATCGGTTTTATCGCTCGAGGGATGATATCACAATTGTCACGAGCGAGCGCAGCGAGCGAGGGACAATTGTGATATCGTCCCGAGAGCGATAAAACTGATATCAACGAATCCCGAGTACGATAACCTATTTATTATATACTTGTACCTTTATCAGGGTTTGACACCCAAAAGTAAACAGTTTTGAAAAAATAGGATCATTTTAGAATTCAAAACAATTCATCATTTACTGAACAAATATGATTTTAGAAAATAAATAGACCATTCAAATAAATAATATACAATTTAAATCTTTCATTTTGTATTGTCGTTGTGTTTTCTTCGATAAACTGTCGACATCAACCAACACGAACCTCGAGTCGGCCATCTTTGTTTTGACAACGCGCGAAATTTAGCGGGACAAAAAACGATATCCGGGACAAAAAATGATATCCGGGACGATATCGTTTTTATGTCCCGCTGCTTCCTACCTGATAAAGGTACAAGTATGTGATAAATATAGATATATAGATATATAGATATAGATATATATATATATATATATATGTATACCGCCTGATGATTCTTTACTGATGAAACAGACTGTTGCGGAATTTTGAGGTAAGCGAAATTCTATATATATATATATATATATATATATATATATATATATATATATATATATATATATATATATATATATATATATATATATATCAGTGGCGGCGCCAGGGTGGGGCAAGGGGGGGCAAATGCTCCCCAATTATTCCTCCCCCCATTTTGCCCCCCTCCAAAAAAATTATTAGTCACTAAGAGCGACTAAAGGCTGCACAAGCGTTCTGTCGTTATCGAAAAATGTATGGCTTATAAGTTGTCATTACTCATTAGTGAATGCGCGTATACATGAAACTGTTTTTTACAGTTTCAATATTAGTTTGTAAATCTCCGAATGGTAAAACTTGCCAATACTCCAAAAATACGTTTCAAAAAAAGACAAAAAAGCTTTAGTTTTGCAGAGTTAAATTCTCAAACGTGTAAGGCAATAATAAGATGAAAGTATCACGAAATTATTTGAATAAACCACATCGCATATATGTGGGGGGGGGGGGCGAATGTCCTAAAGAGGGGCGATATTCCTAGGGTATTTGGCCCACCCCCCTGGGAGGCGATATTCCCAGGATATTCGCCCCCGGGGCGATATTCCTAGGAATATCGCCACGTTTTGAGGGTGGGGGTGCGAATTTCCTGGGGGGCTATCTTTTTAAAAATTCTGTCTTGCCCCCCCCCAAATTTGCAAATTTGAGTTTGCCCCTCAAATGCTCCCCCAAATTTGGAAGCCTGGCGCCGCCACTGATATATATATATATATATATATATATATATATATATATATATATATATATATATATATATATATATATATATATATATATATATATATATATATATATATATATATATATATATATACTGGACCTTTAGGGAGAAGAGTTTAAAACATATAGTAGGCTCAGCATGAGATCCTCCTTTGAATTTACTATATGAGTAAATTCTTAAACACGTCCGAATTTATCATTATGATAAATTCGCGGCAAATTTTGAATTTATCATAATAATAAATTCGCGGCACCTAACACTAACCCCAACCCCAACCCTAACCACTAACCCCTAACCCCTAACCACTAACCCCTAACCCTCATTTTTTTAACTTTTTTTAACTTTTTTAAAAATCTAACTTTTTAAACTTTTCTTGCTTTTCAAAACTCTTTTAAAAACTATTTTTTTAAAAAACATGAAAAATTCCCCACCCCTGCGCGACCAGACTCCCTTTTAGTGCCATTACATTTATAACAAGAAACCTTGTGCAATGATTGTGGTTTTATGGTTAACTCTATTGAAAAATTCAAAATGTGCCGCGAATTTATCATAATGATAAATTCGGACGTGTTTAAGAATTTACTCATATAGTAAATTCAAAGGTGGAGCTCATGTTGAAAAATACATGTCATAATAGCAATATTATACTGCCAAGTAGTTTTATCTGTATTATGTGATATAAAGTATGTAAGCGCGTAGTCCAGACAGAAACCGCGGAGCGTTTTGGGGATTGGTGGGGCTTACACCAGCGCCGAATGCCTTGCATGAGATCGCTTGGGATGTCCGGGGGCATGCCCACCGAGATAATTTTGAAATTTAGGCCTTTGAAATGGCGCAAATGCTTCTAAATTTAACTGTTATCGAAAAATGGTAGATACTTTTTGCATGTGTCTAAGTCTTACTGGACCAAGTTATTTCATTTTGGCCAAATTAAACATTTGTACCGAACACAACTAAAATTTATTATTCGAAATTAAGAAACTAACTATACGGAAAAAATATTGGTGGGGCTAAAGCGGCCCAGCGAGCCACCCTGCTCCGCGGTTCCTGCCAGAACGAATAGTATTTAAATGGTATGCAAACTAATGTAAATATTATACTTATTTCGAATTACTGTATATCACCAACCATTAAAATGAGTTGCCTTGATTTTAACCTGACTAACATTTTCAATGTTTTATACTGGTGAGTATTTTAGCACTTAAGATTTGCTTACCTAAATTTGAAAACTTTTGAATAATGTATAAAATGTCTAAAATTGGTATTGGCAAATTAATTAGTATTGCCCATTGGCAAAATTGGCTCTGAATTGCATATAGCTATTTCAATTAAGGTTGTCCCCCGAGCAAAGCGGAAAAGTCGAATACGAGCGCGAAAGGCTGCTCGGAATCGCTAATAAATTTAATATTAGCGATTCCCAGCAGCCTTTAATTCGCGCTCGTATTCGACTTTTCCGCTTTGCTCGGGCGACAACCTGAATTGAAATAGCTGTACTGTATGTGCCTGTATTGTTTGTGTCATATAGTGCAGTCTCCATGTCTGTAATAAGTTTAACTTGTATAAACGTATTTGTATGTACTAGACAAAGTTTAATAAAATAAGATCAAATAAATTATTAAAATTAAATTAATGAGCATCGTAGTGTAGTTCACTCAATGCTGTCGAGAACAAATTGTTACTGGGGGCTGGGGGTAACTAAGGGGGTCCAGGAGCATGCTGCCCCAGAACTGCATGATGTTGCGTTTGCGAAGCCCCGATCGGAGGAGTATTTTCCGCCAGTTTCCTGAAAGGGGTATTTATCAAAGTAAATTTCTTGCACATTGCCGAAATTTCATGGCGTTTAATCATCTCAAAAACGGTGACTTGAATTACCTCCATCTCCTTCAATTAACTCCAAAACTCCTTTAATTAATTGAAATTCACTTGAGACTTTGTAATGTACTTTATCACGTTTCACAAATTTTGCGCGTCTTGTTTTGAAACGTCGTTTGCTCCGTGTGCAATCACAAGTATGAACGAATTGGTTTTGTTTTTATTGGCACTATACACACAATATCAATGTCACAGTAACAACAAACTGTTCTGGATAATAGAAGACTAAATTCCCCTTATTACGTTTTCGTAGCGCTTTGCATTGTGGTTATAGTGGTATCACTGATATTCAAGTTGGCTTATTTTTTGTCCTGACCCGTGCTAAAACTTTAAAAAAAGCTAGGATCAGGTGCGCAATAGCCAACAGCAAAATATTCGCGAAAACATTCAATATTTTCATTCGAGGCCGCTATCTTCATCAGTGATACCACTATAACCACAGTGCAAAGCGCTACGAAACGTAATAAGGGGAATCTAGTTTTCCCTGTGCAAGAACGAAGTAAAGAAAGAAAGAAAAAAATGCAAAAAGGAGAAAGAATTAAGCCAAAGAGAGAAACAACGACAAGGGGCCATTCACAAAGGATGTCCGACCAAATGATGGATTTTCAGACCCCCCTCCCCCCCTTGTCCGGCATTGTTTGAATTAGTGACCCCCGGACACCCGCCATACCTCGCAAAAACTCGCGCAACCTTGTATATGTCAAGAGTAAAAAACTTTTTTTACTTTTAGAAATTTTTTATAACTATAAATGTGAATACAAAAACATATAAATTACTAATTAAAACAAAATCTAGTATTAACCGCACAATCAAAATGCCAATTTCACAATGAGAGGGAAAGTTCAAAATAGAGGAAAAAGAAATTTGTTTTTTATTTTTTTGTCCTGATTTTCCAAACCCCCCTCGGCTCGGACATCCTTTGAGAATGGCCCCCAAGTCAAACAATTTGAAGTGCCAGTCAGCATACTAGATATACAGCGAATAATGCAATTCCTGAGGAAGGGTTTTCGCTAGAAACATCGACGTTTCTTGACACATCATTTGAAATTGCGATAGCGGCATTTATAAACCAATCACAAGTTTGCTATGGGTTAAAAGGTCAAATAATAGAGTATTTGTTTATGTCTGGCAAGTCTGTCTCCTTCATATAATACGGAATATATACATTGAACTTATAGCATGACACCAAATATAGCCCCAATGCAGCACAATCGAAATAGCATGCATACAATGCCACTGTAGTCCGTATATTAAATGATACAAACAAAACGTCAGAGAAAAATCTGCTAAACTCTGGTAATTATTTAAATTCGAGGAATTATGTGCTTTGGTCAGTTGCAAAATGAATCAGCACAACGAAATGTTTATACGATTAACCAATGAAATGAAAGATACTTAATGACGTTTCCAATCCAAGCGCTTTTTTGGTAAAATACCAGTATAAGATTTCATAATTTGCCACAGTATAAACTTAACAGTATACCAAAAAAACGAAAGTGCATGGTTATCAAATCACAGAGCAATATGGCTACTGCGTCAGATCCTGCTCCTGTGAAGCAATGGGAGACATTGTTAGAATGTTCCATTTGCACTGAGACCTTAACTCAACCACGAACATTGTCATGCTTCCATTCGTTTTGCAAACACTGTTTGGATAATTTTGTTGCCACTCACCGCAAAGAACTAGCAGTCAAAGCAAAAGCTAAAGTGCCAGAAATCTTTGAATGTCCGGCATGCCGAACCGAGTTTCACGTCAAAGAAGGAGAAAGCATTGAGGAAATGCCATCAAACCACTTCATCAACAACATGCTAGAATTACTCACACTAAAACAACAATCCCAACGTATTAAATGCCAGTCATGTAAAGCCCAAGAGCCCGCCACCAGTAGATGTATATCGTGTGAGAAATATCTGTGTGAAAAATGTCTCACGGATCACAACAATTTTGCAGCACTCTCTGATCATGTCGTGTTGACACTGGAAGAATTAGCAAAGCCAGAAAACCGAGCGAAGGCAAAAGGCAAACCTCGTTGTGAGAAACACGACAAAGTTCTTAAGTTCTACTGCGAAACATGCAAAGTCCTTGTTTGTCGATACTGCGTGGATGTCAGTCACCCACGACCTGAACATTTGTTTTTCCCTTTGGCAGATGTTGTTGTACAGCACAAGGAAGCGTTGAAGACTTCGTCTGCCATCTTCGAGCAACAAATGAACGAAGCCGTTCAAAGCAATCTGAAGATAGAACACGCTATGGAGGCCCTGAAGAATAACAAAGCAAAATCCAAAGACGCCATTATGCATCAACAACAGGAAATCCTAAATGCTTTAACCAAATTACTAGAGAAGGAAGCAGCAGCTCTGTTTAATGTAGTCGACAACAAGTACAACCAAGCTATCAAGCCCCTGATGAAACAACAAGCCGACGTGAAAGATTATTTGGAAAAGGCAAAAAGCTCGCTGGATTTTGCCAAAAATATTATTTCCAATGGGAGCGTCGACGAAATTATTTCTCTCAAACACGAGGTTGAAGAAAAAGCTGGTAGTATTAAGAAAGAACGACCAGAATTAATGGGGCCAGTTCACAACGGCACCATTGAATATCAAGCAAAACCAAGCAAAAATACCATCGAGAATATAAAGTTGAATGACTTGGGGAAAATTGGTACGTATACGTACAGATATCTTTATAATTTTAATTGCTATATAGCCACTAGTCTCATTTAAGAATCAGTATATTTTAAACCCTTCATCAGTGCTACCTATAATTTGCATACCGTACTGTACAGGGTGTATAAAAAAAAAGGAAATCGAACTTCAGCGCGCTATTATACGTGAATCACTCGGCGTATGAACAATTAGTATAGGTTATTTTGAGGCAACGAGGGGATATGTGATTTATTCACCGAGGCGCGCAGCGCCGAGGTGAATAAACACATATCCCCTCGTTGCCTCAAAATAACCTATACTTATTTGGAAAGATCAGGCTTTTAGCTATTGAATGACATGCTTTTCATACCAAGTGGGGAAAAATAAGTATGTACGAGGCCGATCAAAAATGTTAGTCAAAATCGCATATTTTCACTTCTGTGCCTAATTAATTAAAACAATGCATAACAAAAGAAAAAGCAATTAATCACTAACGTGTCGTAGCTTAGCTAAGATTTATTCCTACTTAATAATAATTATGAATATGTTCGTAGTTTAATGAAGTGAAATTCATCAACTTAAGTACCAAAGGGAGTTCATTTTCAAGGGTTTTAGACCCAACTCTCAACGGTGAAAATATGCGATTCTGACTAACATTTTTTATCGGATTCGTATTTGCTCATTTTTTATTCATTTGGCATTAATTAAGAAGCTATCATTTAACAGCTAAAAGCATGATCTTTCCGAATGTGTTAAAATCTCGTTCATACGCAGAGTAATTCGGATACAATAGCGCGCTGAAGTTCGATTACCTTTTTTTTATACACCCTGTACATTTCAAAGGAATCAAAGTAACGATCTTGATTCAATATCAGTGTGGGCTGATCGATGGTTGGTGACCATGAATGCTAACAAGACAAAAAAACCCTTTGCATCCTATGCTTACTTTGGCCAACGAATCAATTGATATAGTTGACCAGCATGATCACCTGCGCGTTACTCTTACTTAAAATTCATCAAAAGGCTTCAAAAAAACTTAACTTACTTAAACCAGTGAAATTTAATCTGCATGGGAAGAAAAACCCTTGAAATTCTATATAAATCCGTTCTCCGTTCCTGCTTGGAATATGGGGATGTTGTGTGGGATGAGTGTTGTTACCGTGACCTCTTTGAAAACTTGCAATTTAATTGAAGCAGCCAGGCTCGTATATGGGGGCTTTGAAAGGTACTGCTGGCTTATGGGGGCTTTGAAAGGTACTGCTGGCTTATGAGGGCTTTGAAAGGTACTGCTGGTATATGGGGGCTTTGTAAGGTACAGCTGGCTTCTTTAGCTCAGTTGGTTAGAGCGCTGCACCGGAATCGCAGGGCGTAGGTTCAATTCCTACCAGAGGACCTTGTGCTGCATTTTTCGCAGTCGTTCCTGGTCAGGTCTTAAAATGTATGTAGTACCCACTTGGATGACAAACCTTAAGAACAGCATTCAAATATTAATACACCAAGTAAAGTGCAAAAAACCAGATCATTGAAGTCCACCTTATCACAACCCGTACACCCGATCACCTATATATACATGAACTTACGGTCACAGCTCAACAGCTGGCCTCTGTAGCTCAGTTGGTTAGAGCGCTGCACCGGAATCGCAGGGCCGTAGGTTCAACTCCTACCAGAGGATCTTGTGCTGCATTTTTCGCAGTCGTTCCTGGTCAGGTCTTAAAATGTATATAGTCCCCACTTGGATGACAAACCTTAAGAACAGCATTCAAATATTAATACACCAAGTAAAGTGCAAAAATCCAGATCATTGAAGTCCACTCAGAGGGAAAGCCTTCTTAAATTAACGAAACAGTTTAGACTACTACGAATTAAAGATTAATGTCCAATACCCATGCAAGATGTCCGATGGAAAAATCAAAAGGCCATTGGATGTTCCATTTGTCAAATAGACCTGGAAATGTCCATTGGAGTTTTTTGTGTCCATTGGATCCAATTGACAAGTGGAATGTCCATCGGGCATTTGCTTTTTCAGTTGGTAATTACCATATATGTATTTGAGTGACGTAATGACAAGCACATGGACATCATGTAGATACAAGGCCAGTGAGATAGCCAAACGAAAGTGTCCATTGGATCCAATGGATCCAATGGACCTGGAAATGTCCATTGGAGTTTTGTGT